GTATTCAGGGAGAGTTAATGAACAACAGCCCTGTCCTGAAATCCTTGCCTTCTGCAAAAGTTGTTGACTCTCTCTCAAGGGTTATACCACTCCTGAGGTTGAATCCTACCCTGAAAATTTAGAATATGTCTCCCTTGGGTTTGTCTATCCCAAATTTTCAAAGTTATTGCCTAGAGGCTCAAGTCAGTTGAGTATTAGGGGCTTAAGATTTAGTTATATGGAATTACATAAGTTATGATGAGTTTTCCTTAGTTCTTTTGACACGTATAATATCATACTGTATGCAACATTTTACAACTGGCTTTTCCATTCAGCGTATATTTTGGAAGTTTATTCATCTAACCACTGGTAAATTTATCTTTTTTAAAAACTTAATATTCTACAGTATGAATATATCAAAATATATTTAGCCATTCTATTATATTCAGCTAGATTAAACAAAACAAAAAGAAACAAAACACTATGTACTGGGTAGTATTAGTAGGAAGTATAGGAACAGGAAGACTAAATACAAGAATTGAATGATTCTGCCTGTTTTTTGCCCAAAAGATTATATGGACTGTAAGAACTTTAATTTATTCATTTTAATTACCTTTTCTTCATATTTATTTTGAGAAATAAATGATCAGCTAAACAGATCTCTAGAAAAACTCTTTATGTCAAATTTTATTCCTAATGCAAAATCCTCCATGATGCTTTTCTGGTTGTTCCAAAAAATATGATTTCTCATTTTGTAAATGTTTCCTCTCTACTCTAATTAAATCATTTGGAACCCTGTGTTCTAGTTATTTGCAATACCTCATTAAGGTACACGGCCTCCTTTTTGTCCCCCAGAGTGCCTTACTCAGAGGGGATCTACAGATATTTTTTGGTTTGATTTTTGAATTAAACTAGATTATTTATTCAATTCTGGTTGTTAGATGACCGACATTTTTTTTTTAAGATTTTATTTATTTATTTAATTGACAGAGAGAGAGACAGTGAGAGAGGGAACACAAGCAGGCGGAGGGTCAGAGGGAGAAGCAGGCTTCCCACCGAGCAGGGAGCCTGATGCGGGGCTCGGTCCCAGGACCCTGAGATCATGACCTGAGCTGAAGGCAGATGCTTAACCAACTGAGCCACCCAGGCGCCCCGATGACCGACATGTTCTTGAGACTCATGTGTACCATTATACTTTTGAGGGACAGTTTGTTATAAAATACTGAATTGGGAGGTTAATAATGATTTATACACCTCCAAAAGTAGATCTGTTTGTTATCCATGCTTCCTAATGCCCCTTTCCACCTTATTCTGCCAGTGTCTATATGAAGCACAGCAGCAGAATGATTGCTAAGTAGTTAAAACACTTGAACTCAATCTATCAATTGCCACAAAGTAGAAAAGAGAAGCCATAAACCATAATTTCCATTATGAAATATTCATAGAAATGAGATTAAATCTGTGTTACAATAAAATGTTAATAAGACCTTAAGAAAACAATTAAACATGTTTACTATTAGAATAACTGAACTCAAATCTAGATTATTCCTCAACGTGGCAAAAAAGGGTATTTTGGGGTAATTTATGTGTAACATTTTCAGGTAGGTACTTGCTTTCTCCAGGAAAATTTTCCATTGCTATGATGTTTCCATGTGGATAATTATAATTTGCAAGGATTCCCTGTGGCAAAAATAAAACAATTGGAAGTATATTTAGATATGTGTTCATACCTAATAGCAATGTGTTTAATAGCAACTTAAATCAGCATCATTTTGGGGAGCTCAAATTTGCTATCCACTATCTAAGATTCTTTGCTGTCCAAGTGAAGATCATAGTTAAGGAATAATAACATTGCTCAGAGTTTAGGAATCCTGAGGCAGAGACAGAAGTAGGAAGCCGAAGTATCTGCCAAGAATTAATAAGCTATAATAGGATGAGGAGTCTCTCCCATTTTTTCATACTCCTTAATTGACTAACTCTAAGCAGCTGTAGAAAATACCAATCTCCTCTTACTTCAGATGGCAATTCTAGCATCAGCTGAGCAGATTGGCTTATGAACTCTGCCTTCATCAATTTCACTGTTGGCATCATGGAACTGACCATCCTGGATAAGAATGCTACTCAGTTGCTTTTCTGAAATGTCAAAAAATATCATTGATTGCAACTCTTGCATTTTATGACAATAGTAAGTTTTTTGAAGGACATCTAGCTTGGCTGTTTACACTACAGGGTGAGGGGTGTGTGTGTGTGTGTGTGTGTGTGTGTATTTTGGACAGAATTCTGGAGTCAGCAGTTATTTTGTTGGAATTACTAATGTGATAGCCTCAAATTTTACAATATGCCCTGATAATGCAGTGTTCACCATGACTTGAGGTATAAATCATCTTTAGGAAGCAACATTAGTATTATGTTGAAGCCAGAGGAAAGAGAAGGACAGAGTAGGCTTGAGGTTCTAAGAACCCAGATTCTTCTGAGTTTTAATTTAATATGCCTTGGGTTTCTTCATTTCAGTCTCCTTTTGTTAACACATTCTTTTATAAATTACAGGCAAATGGACCACAGGCAGTGTCTTCTCACTCTTTTACATAAAACTACTGGTACTGAATTTTGGGTGTTTTGGTCACACTGTGTGTATTCATGGCTATTGCTTTTGCTGGTGATTACAACAACAGTTCAGATAATTGCAGTTATTGTCTCTACATGACTCCTTCTATGATTAAAAAAATTAATATGTGAATGTAATTCTGGAGAGCACTGTTCTTAGATTTTATTATCAATTTTCAACAGAGAGGCAAATCTAGGACCTCATAAATATCACTTATTACTAATGATTTGCAACTTGGTGAGGAGTTTCAGCTTTTCAGAGGGATTAAAAGAATAGAGAGAATTTTACATTTGTGGGGAATACAGTGTCAGTGAAGTACCTAATTGGGAGGCTATTCTTTCTTGAGAGAAAAGAACAGTTAACTTTTTGTTTCTCTTTGCTTGAGAAGGATGCTAATTCCCTCCTCAAGCCTTTCTCAAGATGGAGACGCCATCTCTGTCATCTGCCTTGGGGTGAGAAAGCAGCGTAGAAGAGTTGCAGCTTTTTGTTATCCTAGCAATATGAAACGCTAATTTTCTGGGATAAACCATGAGTTCAAAAAAAATAGAATTTCCTAGCATGTCAATTTTGGGCATTCTGTGAGTGTCCAGCAAAGAAGGCTGTGAATTGCTTCTGTCAGTATGGCTGGGACAAGTCCTTAAATCTGTTGACAGCTTGCAAATCTTTTTGCTGACTTTCAAACAGATTATTGACACTATTATGAACTAGCTTTCATGATAATGCAATAACAAAATAAATGATTGAATATCAGTTTTCAAATAAAATCTCATACTTAAAAATTAGACCTCGGATCTACATTTATTATCGCTCAACAGCCACTTGATTGTATCAGGATGTTGCACTTGAATTCAGTTTTAAGCAAGTTTTAAAATGTGAGAAGACTTCCTGGGATGTCTGCATACTTGAACGGGATTGGACTAATATTGTATTATTAATTCATCCATCCAGATAAATTGCATCTTATGCTTTTACTCTGTGGTCAGTATATTTTGAATTATGTTGTAATCTGTGCCTTACCAGATTGTTACTATGCCTTAACTAGTTGTATTCCTGTATACTTCAAAATTGTTTGTATTCTAATAAAGTTAACCTGATTTATCATACTTTTACAAGCCCGGATCTCAGATGGTAACACTTATTTATTTTAGTATTTAATGCTGAATTTCACCTTTTGATTAAAAGCTTATTTAGTCTACTAAAATGGGGTTTGGTTTAAATGCCAATTAACCTTTTGTTTCATCTATGCTATTTAAATGCATAGTATTATTGCACCTTGATAATAGAGTATAATTTTATCCTTTAATTCTTCATTGAAGCCAACTATATTTATTAAGCTAGTTGGAATTTCCTGACTCCAGCTATACTGCTGAGATGACTCAACTAATCATTGTTAAATAAAATAAATTGTTCCCTTTACAAAATTCATAAATCCTATTTCCTTAAATATTTTTGGAAATGTGAATAAGCTATTTTTAAAATATGAATCACATTTTTGCAGTTGGTTGAGCTTAATATGAATCTAGCTTTGGTCAACACTGCCTATTTTGAAATATTTAGTAGAACTTTATATTCACTTTAATTCAACAAGGCACTTGAGGTCCTTGTAATATAGTATAATTTTCCAATATAATTTCCTGACTTTGGAGAACTCACTATCTAGCAAGAAAGACAAGCACATGAATAGGTAGCATATTCTGCTACATGTTCTGATAGAGTGGTGTATATGCAGTACAGCACAAGAATGAGAATGGAGCACCTGATGTGGGACCACAAGGGAAGGCTTCCCAGGAGAGGTGGGACATTTGAACAAGGTCTAAGTAAGAGTGTATCAGGCAGATGAGAGGACAGCAGGTGAGATCCCTGGCTGAGAGGGTAACATAAGCAAACGCACAGACCTATGGAAGTGTATTAAGGATTTGAAAAGTTTGAGCAGTCATGAGTAAGTGGTTCATGGTATGTATGTATGGGGCAGAGGAGATAGGTAGAAAGGTGGGAATAAGAGGGGTAGGAGATTAAGATGTAAAAGGTTAGATAACCACATGATATTTTGATGCAGCCTAAAATGCTAAAATGTTTTACTTTAAATTATTTTAGAAGTGTCAAATAATGTGCACAAAGACACTCTTACTTCATCTCTAACATTTGCACCATGAGTCATTCCCTAAACTACTTAGGGATAGGATGAAGGTCAGGGTTGTAAGGTGCTGTGAGAAATGGGATGGAAGTGCAGATTGGGTACACGTTAGGGTGATTATTTTCATATTAACTGGTTTCCCTATGAAAGCTACAAAACTAGTCAAAGATGAGTCAACACAATTGTCATAAGTTCACCCCTTTTCTGATATGGTTTAAAAGTGAATCCACGTGCTGTATCATTGCTAAACTCATTTACTAGATTTGGTATCTTGTTTTGCAGATATCACTGGATTTTTTTCAAGAAGATGATCAGGTCATTGGTGAGTAATTATAGTTTTATTTATTTATTCATTTTTAGTATGGATGCATTTTATTTTCTCAGCGTACTGCACTGGAGAACCTCTAGTATAATGTTGAATAGAAGAGATGAGAACAGACATCCTTGTCTCATTACTGATCTTAGGAAAAAAGCAAGCTATTTCTCATCTTGTAATATATTGTTAGCTGTAGATGTTTCATAGATGCCTTTTATGAAGTTGAGAAATTTCCTTTCTGTTCCTAGTTTGGAGTCTTTCTATTAAGGGTGGATGTTATATTTTGTCAAATGCTTTTTCTGTGTATATTGAGGTGATCATATGGTTTTTCTATCTTAGTTTGTTGCTGTGATTAATTACATTGATGACTTTTGAATTACTAAATCAGTCTTGCATCCCTGTGATAAAACTCACTTGGTTAGACTATTACTCTTTTTATATATTGTTGGATTTAATTGGCTAAAATTGTGGTAAGACTTATAGCTATTTTTGTGAGGAACATTGGCTTGTCATTTTCTTTTCTGGTATTGTCTTTCTCTGTGTTGGTATCAGTGTAATAATGGCCTTGTAGAATGAGTTGGGAAGTATTGCCTGTCCTTCAATTTTATGGGCTGTTTATATAAAAGTGGTATTATTTCTTAAATATTCGGTAGAATTCACCAGTGAAGTCATTCAGTCTAGTATTATTCTTTGTGGGAAGGTTTTCAAAAGCAAATTCTGTAATAGATATAGGGCTATTCACAGTACTGATTCTTCTTGACTGAGATTTGGTAGTTTTTCTTCCAAGTGACTTTCATTTAATCTAAGTAGTTGAGTTTATTGCCATAATAATTCCCATATTATGCTCTTAATAACAGTAAAATTTGTAGTTTGTCACTTTGCTCATTCCAGATAATGGTAACCTGTATCTTCTATTTTCCTGGTCAGTATGACTAGAGGTCTATTAATTTTATTAATCTCAAAGAATCAATATCAGTTTTTATTTCATTGATATTCTCCATTGCTTTTCTGTTTACTACTTTATTGATTTAAGTTCTGATATTTTTATTTCCTTTCTTTTGTTTATTTTAGGTTTATTTTGGTCCTCATTTTCTAGATTCTTAGGTGAAAGCTAAGGTCACTGACTTAAGATCTTCTTTTTTGGGCGCCTGGGTGGCTCAGTTGGTTAAGCGACTGCCTTCGACTCAGGTCATGATCCTGGAGTCCCGGGATCAAGTCCCGCATCGGGCTCCCTGCTCGGCGGGGAGTCTGCTTCGTCCTCTGACCCTATCCCCTCTCATGTGTTCTCTCTCTCTCATTCTCTCTCTCTCAAGTAAATAAATAAAATCTTTAAAAAAAAAAAGATCTTCTTTTTTTCCTAATTTGGGCTTTTAAGGCTATAACTTTCCCTCTAAGTACTACTTTAGTGGCATCCCACAAACTTCGATATATAGTTGTGCTTTCATTCATTCCAGAATACTTTCTAATTTCACTTTTGATTTCTTCTTTTACCCTTGGGTTCTTTAGAACTGTGTTATTCAAGTTTCCAAGTATTTAGGAAATTTCCAAATATGTTTGTGTTATTTATTTCTAATTTAATTCCATTGTGATTAGAGAACATAATATGTATAAATGTAATTCTGTTAAGTTTATTGATACTTGATCTATGGCTCAGGATATGGCTTACCATGGTAAGTAGACCATATACACTTGAGAAGGATATGTATTCTGCTGTTTCACGTAGAATGTTCTCTAAATGTAAATTAGGCCTAATTGACTGATAGTGTTATTCAAATCTATTATTTCTTTACTGAACTTGAATCTCCTTGTTCTATCAGTTATGAGAGGGATATTGAATTCTCTGACTATAATTGTGGATTTATCTATTTTTTTTTTCTCACAGTTCTATCAGTATTTCCTTTATGCATCTTGAGACTTTATTATTAGGACACAAAAATTTATGATTTTTAGGCCCTATTGAAGTATTCACCTATTTATCATTGTGAAATGACCTTGTTTATCTCCAGTAATATTCTGAGATTTGAAATCTAGTTTGTCTGATATAAATATAGCTGCCTCTGTTTTCTTTTGATTAGTGTTTGCATGGAAACTCTTTTTCTATTCATTTACTTTAAAGTTATTTGTTTCTTTATATTTAAAGTAGGTTTCTTGTAATCACCATGTAGTTGGGTCTTGCTTTCTTAACTAATATACAAAAATCTTTTTTTTCATTAGGGTGTTTAGATCACTTACATTTAGTGTGAATCAGCACCCAGAGTTTGCTACACCTGTAGTCTTCCCTTACTTTTGATGACAACTCCATTTTTTTTTTTCTAGGCCCAAACAAACAAAAAAGAATTATACTTGATTATTTTCTTTCTTTCATAATCTCCCTCCAATCTGTTAAGACATTCTATTAGTTCTACCTTAAAACTTATTCAGAATCTGACCACTTTTCATCATTTTAACTCATCAAAAGTGATGCCATCCTGTTCTGAGCCACCATCATCTTTCACTTTGCTCATCTTTCACTTAATTAGCCAGTAGCTACTTAACTTTTCTCCCTGCTTCTTTCCTTTTCTCTTTCTTAAGGCAGTAGCTAGAGTGTTACCTTGAAAATGTAGGTGTAAATCAGAACATATCATTTTGCCTAAAATCCTGCAATAGTTTCCTGTTTCATTCAGAATAAAGCTGTCATCCTTCTAATATTAACCAGGATTCCAAATAATCGGTCCCCTCATCTTATACTCTGTCCTGACATTACACTACTCTTCCTTTCACTTCCTCTATTCCAGCCATACAGGTCTTCTTGCTGTTCCTTAAAGATGCCCTATCCTTTCTCCCCTTAAAGAATTTGGACTGGTAGTTCCTTTTGTCAGGAACACACCTCCTCTGATATCTCCTTGGTTAACTCCCTCAGTTCCTTTAAGTTTTTGCTCATATGTTACTTTCTCAATGAATTCCATACTCCTAATCATGTTAAAAATGTCAGACTGCCCACTTCCCAAACGCATCATATTTGGTTCTCTTACCTCTTCAGCTCCTTCATTGTGCTAATCATGTTAAAACTTATCAATTTCCTTTCTTATTAGTATATTTTTATTGTCTTTTTCATTTCACTAGGTTTTAAACTCCCCAAGGTGTGGATCTTTGTTTCATTCATTGACATATTCTAAGCATCTGTAAGTGCTTGGTTCATAACAAGCACCTGAGAATGATTAGTTGAAGTAACAAAAGTATTTTGATATTTTGATGGGACCATTTTGCCATGGGAATGTTAGAATAATTGTGTCTAAAAAACAAACAAAACAAAAGCATGTTCATACGTGGAACAGATTGGTGGTTGCCAGAGGCTGGGGGTGGGGGTGGGGTGAGAGAAATGGATGAAGAGGTTCAAAAGGTAAAACAAAACAGAACAAGACAAAAATGCCAGGGATAGTTTGCCTGAGTTACCGTTGTATTGTGAGAACTAAACTGTGCTTTTCATAGAAGATGAGCAAACAATATTTGTTGAATGAATGAACTATGAATGAACTAGTCAACCCTTGGTTTAAAACAACAAAAATAAACCCCCTCTATTATATACTTATAGTAAACACGGGGAGTGGGAATTGAATGTTACAAAAATAACCTATAAAACCTATTTGTTTCACGGTGCCTGTGTGGCTCAGTTGTTGGGTGTCTGCCTTGGGCTCAGGTCATGATCCCTGGGTTCCTGGGATCGAGCCCCACATCGGGCTCCCTGATCCACGGGAGGCCTGCTTCTCCCTCTCCCACTCCCCCTGCTGTGTTTCCTCTCTCGCTCTCTGTCAAATAAATAAATAAAATCTTTAAAAAACAAAAAACCTATTTGTTTCAATAATAAAATTAATAATAGTGTGTGAATATGATATGTTTCTGTCAATCTAAAGCATCTGAAAAAAACTACTATTATACAAAGCAGGTAGTCCAGAAAAAAGTTATGTCAAAAGAGCAATTAAAATTATGTCAAAAATTATGTCATAATTATAAAATTATGTCAAAATCCACCTACTGCCACCACTGTCAATAGGTTAAGTCCATTGTCCTATTTCAAGCATGGGCTATGAATGCTTGGGGGCAGAGTTTATGTCTTATGCTATGGGAAATTGGGCTGTATACATTTTTTTAGGAGTTACACTATAGGCCCAGATATATATATTTTTTTAAATGATTCTTTTTTTTTTTTTTTAAGATTTTATTTATTTATTTGACAGAGACAGAGACAGCGAGAGCAGGAACACAAGCAGGGGGAGTGGGAGAGGGAGAAGCAGGCCTCCCGCCGAGCAGGAAGCCCGATGTGGGACTTGATCCCAGGACCCTGGGATCATGACCTGAGCCAAAGGCAGTCGCTTAACCAACTGAGCCACCCAGGCGCCCCCAGATATATGTTTTAGAAAAGTAAATGGTGGCCATGTAAAGAAGGGTGTAGATGGGAAAACATTTCTGGCAGAAAGCCACTTAAGGGAGACTACTGTGTACCTCTATTCCACAGATATTTGACTGAATATCAGTGTGCCTTGATCTTTAGCATCTCACTGCCTTGCACATGCTGTTTTTTCTCCTTCAAAACCATATATCTGCATCAAACTCTCTCAAGGAAAATCAGGCTTTTTTTCTTCTTTCTAGAATATTTAACATGATGTATTTAGTTGTTTGATTATGCATCTGTTTTTGCATCTGTACTTTGATATCTGCTGTTTCCATTTCGTTTTTTATAAACCCAGTAACAAGCATGTTACTCGGCACAATAAAGTGAAGTAATCAATAAATTATTTGGGGATGGTTGAGCAAGATGATGAGAAAGTGAGTTGCAGTGGTAATGAGGATGGAGGAGTGTGTGTGTGTGAGCATGTGTATAGTAGAGAGGGAATTAATCAGTTGGATGTTAGTCATGAAGGAGATAGAGGAGTCAGGGGTGTCATTTAGGTTTTAGTTTTGTCCTTTGGATAAATATTCCATTCGCCAGAAACATTAAGTGCTATGGTAGACACAAAAATAACTGTCTC